CAGCTCTTCGGACAATTTCCATGACCGGCAGGGAGGGCTAATGGAAAACCACATCAACCACAGCAGTGACAGTGGAGCCGGGACTCAGACCCCTCGGGGACCTTCCTTCAGGTCATTTCATCACGTACATGTTCTTCAGCCAGCCCGCCAGCTGAGGCTCTGGCTGCGGGTGGGGGAACTCCAGGCTGAGTAAGGAAAGAAGAATGAGTAACGGGAGGAGTCTGCAGACATGGCTTCCCAGCTGTTACAGAAACTACGGCTGTGGGAGCTTCGCCTGAGAGTCTTTGCTGCTGCTGCTAAGTCACTTCAGTCGTGTCCGATTCTGTGCGACCCTATAGACGGCAGCCCACCAGGCTCCTCTGTCCCTGGGATTCTCCAGGCAAGAACACTGGAGTGGGTTGCCACTTCCTTCTCCAAGTCTTTGCTAGTTTAATGTGTTTGCTTTGCAAACTGTTTCCCTTTTGTCTCTCCTTGACCTTGTGATTGTACATGCAGTCTGTGGGAGGTTAACTCTACAGTTCAGACTGCAGGTTCCAGAGCATCCAAGGGGCCGTGACTGAGTGTGGGAAGCCGTTAGCACAGCCGGCGAAGAGATGAGGGGACTCGGCACAGCACGTCCTCATTCTGGGGAAGAGTGAGTACCGCCACTTGCGGGAAGGCTGGGTGGATGGCGCTGAGTGAAAACGTTCACGCGCAGGAGGTGCATCTGGAAGCCGATCGCCTGTCATCGGTCTATGTCCCCCAGCTCCAAACTCCACTGTCATTGCCCCACGTGGGGATTCTGGAATTTTCTCCCTCGCAGAGGGCTAAGCTCCATCAGTAGCGGGTGCCGGAGGGACCATGAAGCAGGAAGGGGGTTGTCTGGGTCACACCCGCCTGTTGGCTGCCACCTGGCACATCTTGCCCCGGACCCCTGCCCCCGCCACCTCCCAGGAGGCTTTGCAGCTGGTTCTGAGCGGAGCACCTACCAGTGCGTTGGCTCCCCTCGCATCCCAGGGCCTGCCTTTCCAGCAAGTTCTGCAGGTGGAGCGCCTCACTGAACTTCGCTGGGGCTGCAGCCTCCTCACTGAGGCCTGAATCCAGGCGCAGTGCCCGTGCGGGGGTCGGGGCGGGACGAAGGGGCTCTTCCAGACTCGCTCCTTCCTTGGGGCACTGCTCAACCCTCAGCACCCCCGCTCCGCCTGTGCCGCGTCTTCTCCATCCTCAGTAGCCCCCCCTGCACTCTGATCCCTTGCTGCCGTCCCCAAGCGGCCCCCTCCCAATTACCGTGTGGTCTCCACCTCTCGACTGCACCCTGAATGATACCGAGCGCATAAAGGTGGTCAGCTACAGCCTGTGCCAATGTCACGGAAGGATGCTCAGAGGCAGACCTCGAGCAGAGGAGACGGTGGAGTCCAGAGCTGGCGAGGAGAATGGATGCTTGAGGGCACCCCACCCCTGTGCCTGCACCCCAGCCCCCTGGGGCCCCATCCTTTGACCCAGCCCCTCCCCTCTCACACCCCCCAGCCCTCCCGCCCTCTGAGACCCCAGTTTACTGTTCTAACCTCTCGTGGGGGTACCCTCACATCTCAGCTCTGCTCACCCCGTGTGATCGCAAGACCCGAACCACGAAAGAAAGTCGCTCAGTTGTGTCCGACTCTTTACGACTCCATGGCCTGTAGCCACCATGCTCCTCTGTCCAGGGAACTCTTCAGGCTAGAATGCTGGGGTGGGCTGCCATTCCCTTCTCCAGGAGAACTTCCCCACCCGGAACCAAGCCCAGGTCTCTTGCATTGCAGGCAGATTCTTCACCACCGAGCCACCAGGGGAGCATGATCGCCTTTGAAGCCCACTCTGTGACTGCAGGCTGGCCCCTGAGCTCTGAACTTGGCTGGAGAGAATCTCAGGCCGCTGACGAAATCACTTCCAGGGTCTCAGCATCGCTGGACCACCTCACACTCGAGACTGACAAGTCTCATCTCCTCCTGGACCCTCCAGCATCTCAATGAGATGTTAGATTATAAAATGTGTAACACATTCACATGGCTCAATAACTGGAAAAATTAAAGCTGGACACACAGTGAAATATCCCCTCCCCAACCTCTGCCTCCCTCCCCTTCCCTTCCCCACCCTCCTCTCTCCCCCACCCACGTGCACACACACTTGTGGGCACACACACTCACCAGCAACTTGCTTGGTCCCTTGAATGCTCTTCCAGGCTGCCTTAATGCACATACGTTGTTGTTCAGTCGCTAAGTTGTATCTGCCTGCAGCAGGCCAGGCTTCCCTGTCCTTCACTGTCTCCCAGAGTGTGGTCAAACTCATGTCCTTTGAGCCAGTGATGCCATCCAACCATCTCATCCTCTGTCCCCCACTTCTCCTCCTGCCCTCAATCTTTCCCAGCATCAGGGGCTTTTCCAATGAGATGGCTCTTTGCACCAGGTGGCCAAAGTACTGGAGCTTCAGGCAGACACAACTGTCTATGTTTTCCTACTTCTGTTTATGCCATGGCTGCACACCATCAACTCTCCTACATTGTGTTTCTTTGGTTATTTTTCTCAACATTTTATGCTGGGACAATTTTCAAATCAGAACCAAGACAACATCCTCATTCTCTTTCACGGCCACACAGTACTTCATTGTCTGGACCGCTGCAATAATCTCCCTCGTGTCTACTGATGGACACCCAGGGAGTTCCCAGTGCTCTGCTACTACAATGGAAGTGACTGTCCTGGTTCCTGCGTCCTTTCTCATGGATGGTAGAGAGTTGATGAGATTCATTCCTAGAAGCAGAATGGTTCTCAGGAATCTTAGTGGGTTTTACTGATCTTGCTGAGTGGCCTCTGTGGGGGCTATGAAATCACACTCGGCTCCTGGTGACCGTCGGCCTCACCAGACACTGTTGCCACCCACACACTTGGGGTTTGGGCAGTCTATTCTTTTTTTATTTTTAATTTTTTGACCATGCCATGTGGCGTGCAGGATCCTAGTTCCCCAACCAGGGACCAAACTTGTGACCCCGCAGTGGAAGCTCTGAGTCTTAACCACTGGACCACCAGGGAAGTTCCATGAGCTTTGGGCAGCCTCCCTTCCTGTGTGTCTTTCAAACTAGAAACCCCAGGCTTCCCCACCAGGACTCCCCTGGCTGCGAGGAGGCCCCGCGGTCCCCGTCGGGATGGGGATGACTCTTCCCCTGCCTCCCTGCCCTGAGCCAGCCTCTCCTCCCGTCTCAGCCCTCGCAGACCAGGCCTGTCCCCGGGCACCCTGGCACTCCTCGAGGGCTTCCTGCCTCCCTGTGGCCCCCTGCTCTCCCTACAGCAGCCAGGGCGTTCTTTCCGAGTCACAGATCCCAGCAAACTGCCTCTTCAAAGTCCCTAGTGCTCCCCCCTTATAGCTGGAGTGAGTGAACCCCGACGCCCAGCCCCAACCAAGCCCCCCCTGGCACCACCCTGCCACGTTGGGGGCCTGCTTGACTCCCCACTCTCGGCCAACCCCGCCTTGAGCTCTTTCTTTCCCTACAACCTGAGCCCTTCCCAGGCCCTAGGCTGTTTCCCTTCCGGCACTGCCCCTCCCCGCCATGGTCCCCGCTCCCCAGTGAGCGCTGCCCATGGCCGCAGTGGGACTGCCCCACCCCCAGAACTGCTGCATCACCCCACGCCATCTGCCCTGCACTTGAACTTGGACTGTTTATTAACGTGCTCCCTGTTCCTTCCGGGCCTCCCAGGGATGTGAGCCCTTCACGGGGAGCCGGGCCCGCCCTCCTCACCGCCCCCTGGCAGGGACAGGGCGGGGTTGCAGGGTCCATGCTTGTCCCACCGCCGCCGTGACCTCCCTCCCAGGTCACGGGAGCCTGGATGGGGGCCGGGGCCGGGGGCCCACACCCAGGACCTGCCCTCTGTCCCCTCTGCCCAGCAACCCACTCCTCGCCTCTGGGGCGAATCCTTCCCTATAAAGGAATTTTCCTTCTGTGACCGGGAAGCTGATACAGAGCCCTTGGTGGAGGGGCCCGGCTGGTAACCCCGCGGGACCTTAGCATCTCCCTCCTGCATGGACCGCCAAGGCGCCCCCCACAGCGCCAGCATGGAGTCCACCTGGCCTGCTCCCCGACCCCAGGGCCCTGCCTCTGCCCACCTCTGTTCTCCTTGGACCCTGGCCCACCCTGCTGCAGGGAGGCTGGGGCGGGGGGAGGAAGCGGTGTGTCTCAGCACCCTCTGCATTTTTGGGCCCCAATCCATTCTTTGGTCCCTGAATATCTGCCTGGATCAGAAACTTTCCATCTGGTCCTCAGCCTTCTTGAGCTCCCCCTTCCCTGCTGCCCGCTCCTCCCGTGCTCTGCAGGGGGAACTCGGTGGAAACCCACCGGCCAACCCCCTACCCCGAGGCTCCAACCTGCCCAGGGCCCCACTCGGGACCACACTCAGAGCCCAGCCTGGGGCATTCTGTCCCTCCCCCTCCCCTGGGTTCTCCTCACGATTAGTGGGTCCATCCCACCCACATCTCATTCGAAAGGGCCTTCCCTCCGGCTCCAGCCACTGAGGTCCAGGCCTTTCCAGCTGGACCCCAGACTCCGCCCACCCTCGGCTTAGTCATCCCTCCCCTGCCCCCCCACCCGCCTCCAGCTCTGTGGAATGAGTTCACCAAGGTTCCCCTTTGCCTCCCAGGGACTCTGCCCTTCTCCAAATCCAAGGCCAGGATGGTGGTGTGGAGGAGTGCTGGGGCCAGCTGTGATCACAGCTGGGCCCTTCAAGGTCAGTTCCAGGAATACGAGAGCCAGTTCCCACTGGGCCCGATGGACGGAGCCGAAATGTCGTCTGGAGGCCCTGCTGTCCCCCTCCTCTGTAAAGGACTGTGCGGGAGGTCAGACAGGTTCATGATCACCACCCAGGTGAGGAAACTGCCCACAGCAGACCCTCCCAAAGGTCACGCTCACAGGTGAGAGGTGGGCAGGAGGCGCCGGGGACAGACTCTGCCAGACCCCAAGAGGCTGAGAAAGCCTCTCCCAAGAGAAATCACTCCACAGCCACTTTTGAAATCAGCTTTATATTAAGCTATAAAAACCAAGAGTTTGTTCTTAAAAAAAATACAAAAGCATACTATCAAAAAATAATAATAACACCAAACATGCAAACTTCTACAAATGTACAAAGGCCTTCGTGCACCATTTACATGGGCCAATTTCTGGCCACAGTACCTGGGAAAGAGGGCTACAAGTCCAACAGAGCCAGCTGCAAACCGGGTCACAGGCACAGGCGGGGCGGGGTCACACCTGAGTCTCAGCTGCCCCAGGCAGAGGAGGGTGACTGAACCTGTGCTTTCCTGGGTAGGATGAGGCACCCCGCAGGGCGGGGGATGGGTGAAGGCTGTGGCGGGCAAAATAATGTCCATCCCATAAAGATGCCCACATCCTAAGCCCTGGGCCTGTGACCACGTTCGTTTCCACAGCAGAGGAATTAAGGTTGTCAAGCGGAATTAATAATCAGCTGACCTGAGCATCAGAAGAGGATCCTGGACTGCCTGGGTAGGTCAAAGGTCATTGTCTGGTGGGTTAAAGGTCACCACCAGGGACCTTAAACCGGAAGAGGGAGGTAGGAGGGGAGTGCTGAGACACGAAAAGGATTTGACTGGCTGTTGCTGGTTTTGGAAATGGAAGCGGGCCACGAGCCAAGAAATATGGGAGGCTGGCCTCTAAAAACTGGAAAAGGCAAGGAACTTCCCCGCCAGAGATCCAGAGGAACCCGCCCAGCTCAGCCCACCAGACCTACGTCAGACTGCTGACCTCCAGAACTGAAAGGCAAGTTTGCATTTTAGGCTCCCAGGCTGTGGAAGTTTGTTAGAGCGGCAACAGGGAACTCACCCAGAGGCCAAGGGGTCAGAGGTCAAGATGGCCCTGCCCCGACCTCAGCCTGACTTCCAGGGGAGGACCCACAGAGGCGTCCCCGGGCCTGCCCCTTGTTGGGGGGGGGCAGAGCTTGGGAAAACCCAGCAGGTCCTGGCCCTCCCGGGCCCATCCTCAGGGGACACCCGAGGGGAATCAGAGAGGGGGTCAGGGGCTCGGACGCTGGCTTTGCCCCCGCATGCCTTGTCATCTCACAGGCCCTTTTCCTGTCCCCCCACCCCTTCCCAGACAAGAGTTCATCTTTCCCTTTTTCCTCCTCCAGTTCTTCCTTCTGTTTCACCCACAGGCTGAGCCTGGCTCGACGTATCCCTGAACCAGAGGAGGCAGGAGGGGTGAGGCTCGGGCCCCTGTCAGGAGCTGGGGAGGCCAGAGACCCAGCCTGAGGAGGGCGGTCCTCGGGCAGGCGTGGCAGGAGCCCGCAGACAGGCGGTGATCCCAGAGCTGGGTCCCTGAGCCACACACCCTCCTGACCCCTCCTTCAGGCCGTGCAAGCTCCACTGTGATCCACAGAGTTCCCCCCACGGCTCCTGTCCCGACAGGAGGGGTCAACACGCCACGGCTTGTCCAGTTCCAGCGGCCCAGGGGCCCACACCGCGGCCAGGCCTGGGCGGCAGCAGCAGCAGCAGCAGCAGAAGGCAAGACCCCCGGGAGGGGCCGCGTGGGGCTGTGACGCTGGTGCTGGTCTGACGGCCCCCAAATGGAGTGGTGTCCCATGCTCGCCAGGCGCTCCTGAGGAGGGCAGGCTGCAGGAAAAGCTAACCAACCTTTATAAGTGAAAATAGGGCCTTGGAGGGCTCGTGCGCCCCCGTGTTGATGTCCAGAATGCTCCGGATGCTCTTGGCGTCACTGCTGGACAGGTTCCCCTTGATGGCCAGGATGGCACTCAGGTGGCCCTTGCTGGCAAAGAGAGTGTCCCGTCATTCCGGCCCGCGCGCCAACACCCCTGCTCACACCCCTTCCCAGCTCCCCAGACTCCTGGCCGGAGCCACAGGGCCCAGCAGCCAACACCCCTGCCCACGAGGGTGCCCCGCTCTGCTTAAACCACTGTGCTCGGGTGGCACCGGCCGCAGTGTGACTCCAAAGGGTGCCAAGGTCTGGCCTTCGCACTGGCTGTTCTTCCTGGAACGCTCGTCCCCATGCCCTTGAGGTAACCAGCTCCTTCTCACCCTTTTAGCACTTAGCTAACATGTCACCTCCCCATCAAGAAGCCGCCTGCCAGTGCAGGAGACACAGGTGTGACCACTGATCTGGGAAGATCCCAAATACCACCAAGCAACTAAGCCCGTGGGCCACAGCTATTGAGCCTGTGCTCAAGGGCCCGGGAGCCACAATTACTGAAGCCCTCAAGCCCTGAAGGCCGCGCTCTGCAATAAGAGAAGTTACTACCATGAGAAGCCCGCACTCTGCAACTCGAGAGCAGCCTCCACTTGCTGCAACTAGAGGAAAGCCCACGCAGCCACAAAGACCCAGCAGAGAAAAAAGTAAAAAATAAAATTAAAAAAAAAGTCACCTCCCCAGAGAGGATTTTCCAGCTCTAAAGTCAGCACCTCCCACCATTCACAACCTTGGTTAAACAATCTTTAAAACTTGCAGATAGTACTCCTTTGCCGGATGACCTCATCACTGCTAACCCTCATCTGACTGTCTGTCTGTCAGGAGGCCTGGTCTGTCTTGTACCTCCTTGCATCCTGGGGCCTAAAACAGAGCCCGGTACCTAGTAGGAGACCATCTGATAACTGTTGGTGGGATGGGTGGATACAAGGATCCATGAATGGATAGATGGATAGGTGGGCAGGTGGATGACTGGACGGGTGGATGGATGGATAGATCGAAGGATGGACAGATGGGTAGATGAGTGGGTGATCAGATGGATGGATAGCTAGGTGCGCATCCAGAAGGTTAAGTAGGTGCTGTATGAGTGGGCAGATGGAAGGGTGAGTGTGTAAGTGGGTGGGTGGCTGAATACGTGGCGTAGACCAGCCAGCGGCTGGACCAGGCTATGCTGGGACAGGCCGACCACACCAGAGGACTCAACCCACTGAGAAAACTGCCCTGGCTCACCAGATCACCCTGGCAGTCAGGGGCTGAGCTTCCACTCTAGAACAGAGGCCACAGGAACCAGGGCACAGGTCAAGCCTCTGAGGACCCCTAGCCTGACCAGTGGGCCCCAGCTTCACTACGGACGTGCCATGGCCTCCAGCAGGTCCCTGGTGTCTCTGGTTTCAGATCCCCCTCTGAAGGAAAGGCTCAGAGCATGCAGTGTGGATCCGGACTGCCTGGCTTTGTCTCGACTCTACCACTGACCAGCCGCGTTAGCCTGGCCACATTCCTCACACTCCCCAGGTCTCATCTGGACAACAGGGATGAAGAGTGTCAGCCCCACCAGGCAGCAGCAAGGACTGAGTGAACAGCCGCTGTAAGGATCTGGGCACAGTGGCCAGTAATCTGCGCTCTGCCCACCCTGCAGGGACTCACCCTGCCCCTCCAGGCTCCGACTGCAGTGGGGCCCATGGCCCTGCTGCCTTCCCTGGGTGCTCGGAGGCCCCGGTTCTCACCTGAAGTCGGGGTACCAGGTGGCATAGGTGGCCACCTCAATCTTGATGGCACTGGGGTCTTGCAGGCGAATGATCTCGGCGAGTGTGGGGAGGGCGTGGTGCAGCCAGGTGGCCGGGGAACCCTGCAGGCACAGGCTTCGTTGAGAGAGGCTGGCCCTGCCCGGAAGCGCGCCCGGGGACCCAGAGAGTCTCAGGTCGGGCCTGATCAGGTTTGGAGAGGCCCAGAGGGGCTGTCCAAGCCCGTGAAGAGCTTGGAGCAGGAGGGCAGCCCACCGCCGTGGGAGGTGGGGGGGGGTTGCTTACGTTCTGGGTGCAGAACTGCTGGATGAGCTGGGCGTTGGCCTGGACATGCCCCGCCAGCTGCTGCTGCTGCTCTGCCGTCTTGAGGACCAGGCGCCGCTTGCAGAGGCGGGCGATGTACTCCTTCACCAGGTGCAGGTGGACGGCCTCCAGCAGCTCCTGGGTGGGCGAGCGGGCAGGGCCATGGGAACCCAGCACCTCCCTGGAGGCCAGGGTCCAGGGAGGGGAGGATGCCAGAACAGAAGGGCGCATTGGGGTGTGCGCACACACGCATCTGCCCGCGCGTCCCCCACCGGCAGCCCAGCACCCCCTCACCTCCCGGAAGCAGTCCTGCAGCTCCGAGAACTCGGGCATCCTCTCGGCCACGACGGAGATGATTTCCTCCAGGGTCTGCTGGGGGGCGGCCCAGCGGGTCTGCGTGAACCTCTTGAAGAGAGGCTGGGAAAGCAGAGAGGCAGGCTGTGTGGCCACGCCCGGCAGAGGAAGGGCCAGCCCAGTAGACACGCACGCACAGACACACACGGGGCCGGGACAGGGGTCGGGACAGCGGTCGGGTTATGTTAAGGACTCCTCTGGCGCTCCAGCAGGAAGTGGAGGCCAGGTCTGCGTCCCCTTCTCCAAGGCCTTCTCCACTGCCTCCCTCCTTAAATAAATAAATTCCTGCATAAACAAAGCCGTGTGCTTGGCTGGGCGTATGATGATGATGACCCTGCCGAGTCATCCAGGGTCACCGCCTGGCCACCCGCAGCCGCGGGGCACTGGGAACAAGGCAGGCTCCCACGGTGGGGGGCAGGCAGGGAGTGCCCCCCTTCCTCCCCTAGGACCCCCGTCTCCTCCTGTGGTACAGGCACTAAGGGCTTCTGGGGATGCCCTGGCCCCCGCAGATGTGGCGGGAGACGCCAGAGGCTCTGAGCGTCCCGGCTGGGAAGCAGGGTGTGGGCAGGAGGGTCTGGGGGCGTCAGGGGAAACGTACAGGCAAACTTGAGGACTAGGTGGAGTCCAAACCGGGGATGGGCGCTGAAGCTTCTCTTCCGTACCCCAGTGCCCTAAGCGGCCCTCTGAGGCCAAGCCCCATGCTGAAGCGAGGGTGACATCAAGGGCGGGCCATGGCCCCATCACGGGGGCCACCAGCCTCCCTGCAGCTGCCCCGTGCCACGCCTTCCTCGTGCCAGCTCTTCGTTTCTGCCGCCACCCCCCAGGCCCTTCCCCAGCCCCTCCAGCACTAGTGTAGCAGGAGGCTCCACTACCTTCAGGCCCCCAAACAGGCTCTGCAGCAGGGTATCAAAGCCGCGGCTCTTGAGCTCGTTCAGGGGGCTCAGCAGGGAGCTCTGGAGGTCTGGTGGCGTCTGCCACTTCTGCTCCACGGACGTCCTGGAAAGCACAGGAGTTAGGGAGGTCACGCCAGCCCCGCCCAGCCTGCAGCCCTGAAGCCAGAGAGCCAGAGAGCCCCAGGCGAAGCTCCCTAAACCATCGCTCTAGAACCTTCCCTGGCTCCCCAGTCCCGGTGGGAGCAAGACCAAGGCACTCCATCCAGGCTCCCTAGGCAGGACCCAGCCTTCCCACCTAACACACACCTAACACCACACCCGGTTCTAACCAGGGACAAATGGCTCAGCCTCTCCATAGCTCAGGGTGCCCACGGGCCCAACGGACACAGTCACTGTATCTACTTAACAGGGTTGCTAACAGGATAAATGAAATCTTTTGCGTGAGCGCCTGACCCACCAGCACTAGATACATGTTTGCTGTTGCCGCTGTAAGCCCTGGGCATTTCCTTTCTACCCTGCTCATTTTAATTCAACATCTCTGCTTAAGCTGCTCCTCCTCCCTCCTCCATCCCAGGCACTGGCTTCCCAGCCCCCCACAACAACACAGGCAGGCAGCTGCAGTGATTCCCCCCGCTGCCCAGCGCCCTTACCGGAAAGACAGGCAGTTGTTGATGTTAGCGATGACATTGGCCCTGTAATTTCGCAGCTGTCTGCATCTCTCCAGAAATTCATCAAAGGCGCGCTGATAGCTGGTGAAAGAGAAAGGGCACCCGTAGCTGCAGCATAAACACTGGGACAATAGCAGCCTCCGGCAGCCTGCCCGACCGACCAGCCGGCGTCACACATGGGCTCCGCACGGCACAGGGCGGATGCAGGAGGCATCCCGTAACTGGCTTCACACGCTCAGCCCACCAGGGCCAGGGCCCCTGCAGAGGTCCTGGAGAGAACACCTGCCTGGCTCTGCAGTGCCCACACCTTCCCCCAAGCCCCTCCAGAGCTGCAGGCAGAGGTGGGGAGGCGGGCAGCCAAGAGAACTCTGGGGTGCAGACCAGGGGCATCACCTGAAGGGGAGGCCAGGGCCTCAGTCCCTCCGGGGGCATCTTTGCAGTTGGAGGCTGCTCTTCCGGGGGCTTTGCTGAGCAGTGGGGGGTGGGGGCGGGGAAGGGTGGTCAGATGACCTGAGGCTCTCAGCGCCCAAGTGGAAGGTGCAGGGGGACAAGGACTCCTGCTCATAATAACGGACATCCTAGAGGCCGGGAGGGGGCGCTGGTCTACCTAAGATCCCCCCACTGGGGTCCAAGAGAGGGGCTGGGGCTCTGAGAGAGGGGGCGGCAGGGACCCCCCCAGCCGCCAGCCCCACTCCGGGCATGCATGCCCATCACTCACCTCCTGAGGAACGTGGCCAGCTCAACCAACAGCAAGGGCTTTATCTGTGTGCCCAGGTCCAGGGTGATGCTCTCGGCCTTGGCATGGCCCTGGGAGATGATCTGCAGGGGTGGGGGGTGAAAATGAGCAGAAGCCCCCCTGGTCTAGGGCTAGGTCAGGGGCAGGGGTGGGTAAGACATGGAGCAAGGGGGTCTGGGCTCAGCGGCGGGTGTGTCTGACCACAGGGACGAGGCTGGTGTGGGTGGGGCAGCGGGCGCTACCTGGATGATGTCGATGGCCAGCTCACTGTGGCAGCGGGCGTCCAGCCTCTGCGGGGCCACATCCTGGGTCCAGCGGTTCGACTCCAGCTCCAGAGCTCGGGCCGTCAGCTCCCTCACGCTGGCCTTGGAGGGTGGGGGGCCCGCTCAGGGTAGTGCGAAGCCCACGTGGGCGTCCCTGCCAGGCTCCCTGCCTGCATCCTGTCTGCCCAAGACTCCCTGCTCCCACCTGCTTCCTTCCTGCCCCCACCTCGGCCCCGCCCGGCACTGGCCCTGGACTCACCACCTCGTTGGAGAGGAACGCGGCCTCCAGCAGCCGGATCTGCGTCGGGGGCAGGAGGGTCCCGAGTCTGACTCCCTGCAGCTCGGGAGCCAGCTTGGGGCTGTTGAGGATGTCGCTGCAGGCAGAGGGGCTGGCGTGAGGAAAACCAGCGCCGTCCCCCCGCCCCGGCCAGAGCCCTGCACACAGCTTGGTCACCTTCCCTCCAGCGCCTCCCACCCCTGTCTCTCCATCTCAGTTCGATCCAGGCGATCCAGGTGATCCAGGGATCACCCTGCCTCTGCTCACTCTCTCACCCATGTCCACTCTTACTCCAAGTTATGCTCCCAAAACCCATCAGCCTCAAGCCACCCCGCCAGAGGCACCCCACGGCCCAGCCCCCATCTCCCGCCTGGCACACCGCAGGACTCTTCTCCCTGGCTCCCTGTCTTGCCTCCACAGTCCCTCTCCTCCCCCGGCGGCGGCGGGCAGAACCACATTTCCGGTCTGATCTCCCTGCTCCAAGGGCTCCCCCTCCATTCTCACCCTCTGTCTCCTTCCCACCATCCCCCACTGCACTCCCACCCTGGATCCGACCAGCCCTGCCCCACCTTCCCCCAGACTGGCTGCTGCCCCCAGAGGAGGGCCAGTCCCAGCAGGAAGGGCTATCTGCCCCTCCCTGACCTCACCCTGGACAGAGGCATATCCACCCATCCTTGTGGCACTTCTGTTGGGTCCCAGAGCCCCTTGGGGACTGTCCAGCCCTGGCACTTCCTCAGGGCCTTCGTCTGCCCGGAGGCTCAAGAATAGCCCTTTCTGCCGCCTGCCACCCCCCCCCCCCCAGCCTGGATGCGCTGTGTCCCTCTGCTCCCCAGACTTCTGGCCACATGGGCCTCCACGGAGCCACCCTGGTCTCCCCGTCTCAGGGCTCAGCCTCCCACTGCACTGACGCAGGGGCGCCCCCAGGTTAAAGCCCCCGAGGTCACAGACAGGAAGGTGGAGGGGCAGAGGGGACAGGCCTGGCACTTCCCGGTGAGTCAGGAGCAACAAAAAGGAACCGGCTCGGCTGGCGGGACTCGCCGGCATCCCCTGCCCTGTGCCAGCCTCCCTGCCCCCCCTGACTCCTCACCCACCACTCCCGCTGGTCCTTCCTCGGGCCCCTGCTGGAGGCTGACCCACCAGCACCAACTGAGACCCCTGACGTCCCTGAGAGCCTCAGACATCGCTCACATGGTCTACACCTCCAGGCTTCCTGCAGGCTTTGTGCTACAGGCCGGGGCCAGCCCCTACCAGAACCCCTGAGCAGATCCACACTGCAGTTTAAGCCTCTCCCCACCCAGCTTGTACGAATGACTGACATGCTTGTTGAAGTAAAATAAGGGAAAAAAGAAAAAAGGTGTAGCTGTTTTTTTTTCCCTTGAGTTCTTTACCTGTTCCTGATCTGCAGTCTGTAACTAAGTTTCTTTATCAAAAGATGAAACCTGATTTGAGAATTACATGCTGCACTTACAGCCCCCTCAAAACATTCTGTATCTGGGGCTCAACTTCACAGCACCCTCTCTGCAAACCACCCCTTAGAGTTTTTCTCTCCTTTTGCATTACAGAAAGAAAGCCTCAGTACAGTCCACAAAAGACAACGGACCCAACAACCAGGCCACCAGACTGCCAGACCCAAATTACCAGGCTCCCAACGTCAGCCTGATGACTGCTTTTGAAACAGTGCGAGGAGAAGCACCCAAGATCCTAACGCCTCTGTTCATTTCCAACCCGACTGTGAGCCCCCAGCTATATAATCCCCTAGGTTCCTCATGGAAGCAGGGACACAGTTCTGGAGACAGGAGCCTGCTATGTTCTTGCCTCTGTCTCCGGATTTTCTTAGCCAGCTTCTCTGGGCAGAGAAAGCCAAGATATTGGCAGCAACATGCTCAGGGATGCATGAGATCTGGGTGTATCAGGGGATGCCCGGATCTGAATCCAGCTGGTACTGGGGATTCTCCACGGCAGCACCAGGCGCCTCCCAAACTGAGAGCTCCAGGCCTTGGTGGCCAGAACTCAGCTCTGCCATGGGCTCACTGGGCAAGACCCTGCACAACGGGGTTGTGTCCCCAACAGGCCCAGTGCCCCCGTCCTGCCTAGGATTGCTCCCTCGGGCTGCTGGGCACTGAACACTGAGCGCTCCACACGACCCCCAGAAGGCCTCCCGGCCCAGCCTTGGGCACTGCAGGGCGGCTCCCTCTGTCGGGAACACCACCCCACCTGTACTCGCTCCCCCCTTGCCTGACTCCCTTACTTCTGTTAGACTGTCAGCGGCCCCAGAGCAGGGACACTGCCTCCTGCGACAGGTAGAATCCTGCACCTCCTCCTCCAAGCTGGCTTCCTGGGCTGATCCAGGCGGGGTCAGGGGGCCCGCTCAAGGCCACAGCCCTTCCTGACTCTGGATCATGGGAGGCTTCACACCCTAACCCAGACTGGAAACTCAGGAATCAAAGATGAGGCCCTTGCCCCAGTTCTCTGTGCCTCAGTTTCCCCAGCTGTGGGATGCGGCTGAGGCCGGAGAGACTAAGGATTCCCAGGGCAAAGCAGGCCCAGTGGACGCACTGCCCCTTTGATTCCAGGCCTGCCTGGGCCATTCTCCCAGCGGACTCCCTGCACTTGCTGACACCCAGGCCCTGCCCTCCTGGGGGCCGCTCCCGGCACCCCGCGCCCGTGCTCACTTGGGGTAGAGGTTTTGCACCCAGACCAGCAGCATGTAGGTGTCGCGCGGGCACAGCTCGAACTGCGTCAGGGCCGCCAGCTGGGCCGCGAAGTGCGCGTGGTAGCTCTCGGCGTAGGCGGCCACCACGTGGAAGTCGGCGGGGAAGAGCGGCTTGAGGCGCTCCACCACGGCCTCCAGGTCCTCCTTCATGGTGCGGCCCATGTGCAGGAAAGCGCGCTCGGCCTCCGTGCGGCCCTCGGCGTCTGAGCACCTGGTCGCGCAGGAGCGCGTACAGCGCCTCCACCTTGCTCTGGCGCCGCACCAGCTCCTCCTCGCTCGCGCGGCCCGCCGCCGCGGCCTCCTGCAGCTCCAGCTCCAGCGCCAGCAGCGGCCCCGCCGCCTCCAGCCGCCCGCGCTCCAGGTCGACCTTGAGCTCCTCCACTGAGGCCAGAACGCGGCGTTAGCGCGGCCCGGGGCTCTGAGACGCACCCGGCCACCGCCCCGGTCACCTCCCGTGGGCCGAGACCCCCCAAAAGATGCGGGGTGTCCCAGCCCGGGTGGGGGACACCAGGCTCAGATCCTGAGATCAGGGGGCAGCAGGCAAAAGCAGGGAGGGGAGGCCCCTCGACGCCCACGTACCTGCCCCCTCTGTCCTGGCTGAGCGGGGCATGCACTCCAATGAGCCCTGGTCCTGCCCAGACCCTGCCCACCTAGGGAGGGGGCTCCCGCATACCTGTGGGCAGCTGGCCAGGTGGCCGCGGACTGCACTCAGACTCGCCCTCAGTCTCTGCTGAGCTGGGCTGACCCTTCTTCTTCCTCCCTTTGGTGAAGATGCTGAACATGGTGGCCAGGCCTTTCGACTTCTTCTTCTTCTTGCCGGCCTCTTCTTCGTCCCTGTCCAGGGCCACCTCGGCCTCCAGAGGTGGCACCAGGTCCTCGGAGGAGGCCTCCGACATGGAGGCCTCGGACTCTGCCTCTGAGGTAGAGGGCAACTTCTGGGGGCTTCTGGGGAAGTCAGGGGCCCCGGACACAGGCTGCTGGCCTGGGAGTCCTTGGAAGAAGGTCAGCATCTTCAGCATCACCCCAACTCAGGCCTGTGGGTTGACAAGTGGAGGGAATGAGAGGGTCAGTGGTCGCGGGGGGACTGGTCCCTGGCTCCCCAGCCCAAGCACACAGCCAGGTTGATCTGTTTTCACCGGTATGACTGCCAGGGCTCTGGCTGTCTCCTGGTCCAGATGGGACCAACAACTCAACTTTCCTCCTGGACGCCAGTTCCGCAGCACCCGCAGGCCCTCCCAGAATCTCCAGACAGAAGGGGACTTCATTTTGGCAAATCCTTCCTTGTCAGCCCATCCTCTGGGCAGGGAGGGGGACCACAGGCTTGCTGGGGACCCTGGGGGAGGGAGCAGGGCTCGGGCTGCTCGCCCATGGCACAGAGCGAGAACCGAGGTCCAGAACAGTCAAGGGCACTAAGAGACCGGGCAGAGGCAGCAATCCGGCCCCAGCCCCATCCTCCGTCCTGCTCTGTTCTGCTCTTGACTCGTGTGGCTTGGGGTCCCAGAGGAACGCGATGAGCAGAAACAGGGCTGCTCCTGCTGGGACCGCGAGGCAGGCAGGGCCAGACCCCAGTTATGACCGTGGGGCTCAGGTCTACAGAAACCACAGCGCCCCCTCACGCCCGTTCCCAGGTCGGGAGGACAAGGGGCCCCACGAAGCGCAGGCCTGCCTGAGGTCACACAGCAGCTCAGACGGGAAACTCAAGCTTCCCAGCTCCACCGCACCCTGCCCGCTCCCCAAGTGGGGTGACGTCACCACCACAGAAGTTTCCATTTCCTGGGCCCTTCCTGAGTGCCCATCCCATCACTTCCGCACTGCCTTCCAGGAGGGGTATTATTTTCCTCATCTCACATAACTAGCTCAGAGAGGCTTAAAATGCCCCCATGGTCAACAGCTTGGAACTCAGCTCACCAGGCTCTGGACACCCCCACCATCCAGAGAGGTAGCACCCTCCCCAGCGCCTTGACCATGGGGGAAGCCAGGCCAGGACCGGTGGAGGGGAACGCGGCTGACCCGAAAGGAGGGAGCAGGGCAGGGCTGGGAAAGGGGAGCAGAGGGGGACGGGCCTCCTTGGTAACTGGGGTGACCCATAACCACAGTGCCTGCCCCACCACCCAAGAGTAAATACACCAAGTCGTGACTCATACACCACGACTTCAACTCGCCCCTGCAGCAGCCCTGCAAGGCAAACAGGGTGATCCACCTCTCCAAAAAGGGAAACTGAGGCGGCAGGAGGTGGGGGGTGAGGTGGGATGAGGCCTGTCAGACTTTCCACATCCCCTGCTACCTTCCCACCAGCCCAGCCACCTTCGCCCATCCTCCCAGGAACTCCTCCCAAAGCCCCGAGCTTGACCAGAGCCACTCAGTGGCCATGAAGCCAGGCTTTCTCCCCTCCCACAGCCTCACCAGATGCTGGGGGCAGAGTCCTACACCGCTGGGTCTCAGCTGCCTCCTGGTGCCATCTGGACTGCGAGTTCCCCTCCAGAACCAAGCTGAGGGTCCTCCGGGGAGCCCCAAAGCGAGGGTCCCCAGGTGCGAGGTCACTGGGCACTTCTGCCCTGCCCATCCCTTCCCCCAGCATCCCTCCCAATCCATCTCACTTTCATGCCAAGCACCCACAGGAGCTGGTCTGGCTGGTTGGCAAGAGCTGCTCAACCTCACCCTGGGCCCGGGCCCCACCAGAGCAGCTGCGGACGCACCAGCCCCACTTCTGCCCTCACTGCCCCCGCCTCCTCCATCCCCACGCATACTAGGCTCCCCCCAGCCTTCAGACCTGGTTCCTGCAGGTCCCCGCACGGCATTGCCACCTCCTTGCCTCTGGGGCGTAAAATCTCCCACTCCAAGGTCCACAGCAGCCCCTTTGGCCCCTGCCCAGGCCTTCACTCTGAGGCAGCTGGTGCAGCAGAAAGACAGACCATTGTGGGCTTGGCTGTACCATCCGCTAGGGTGTAGACCGGACACCACCCTGCCTTCATAGACCTCAGTCTTCCATCTGTGCAGTGGGGAGGAGAGCCCACCTCACAGTGCTTCTGAAAGAAGGATGTGAGGGAAGCACACAGCCACATGCCGGCACCTGGCCAGGCCTCAGGAAGGGTCTGAGTCTTGGGTCTCAGTGTCTGTCGGGCTAACCCTGGTGCCTGCACACAGCATAAGACGGCAGGAGAGACATTCCTTTAAGCCAAAGCTGGTGGCTGGGCACACTCGGACAGGAAGGGGCATGCTCCGAGTCAGACTGTGTGGCCACAGCCTGGGGCACCTCCCTGGTCCTCCCAGCTCCCCCAGTTTCTATGCAGGCACACACACCCTCACTCTCCTCCCCCGGGTCAGGGCTGAGGTCCACGCCAGCCTCCCTGGTCCCTGCGCATGAGGGCATTCAGGCTCAGGCAGGTGAAGGGACTCGGCCTCAGTCACACAGCCAGCCACCCCCCACCCCTCCCTGGGCCGCCCCGGCCCCTCCTACTGCAAAGGAAGGGACACTAGGGCCCCTTCCCACAGCCCCCTCCTCCCGGCTTTCCCAGGGCAGAGCCCTCCGCGGGGAGCATCTAACCGGACCCTCTGCACCCTGACGCAGCAGCTCAGCCGTAGGGCTTCAGTTTCCCTAGAAGGGGGGCTGCGGAAGACCTGGGGTTCTCCGCGCGGGGTTCCCTCCATCGCGCCAGCCGCTCCCTAGCGGGATCCGGCCGGAGACTCGGGTCGCGTCGGGGCGGATGCGCAGCCGCGCGGAGAGTTTGGGGACGGACGCACCGGACGCACCGCGAGCGCAGGTCACTTACTGTGTCCGGGCCGAGCTGTCGCCGCAGAGCCGGGCGCCGCCTGAAATAGACGCAGGCTCCGCCCCCGTCGGGCCGGCCCGCCCCGCCCCAGGGGGGCTGCCCGGGTCCCCGCGTCCGGTGCCGCGCGCGCGCACCCCCCTGAGCGAGGCGGGGCCTGCCAAGCTGGGGGGTCCAGGAAGGGCTCACTCCCTCCCACCAGCCTTGGCGGGGTGTAGGGGCAGGCTGTCAATCGGCCTGAGTGGGGCTCCAGGCCCGCACTCCCCAGCGGACAGGATGGGTTCGGTGCTGACCCATTGTCCGACGACAGCTTCTGATTGGCTGACTGGAAGGGGCCGTGCACTCAGGACCACTTTCGCGCGTCACAGAGCCAGCACCTCGGGCAGCTCAGAGGACCCCCTAGGCAACCCAGCTCACTCCAACTGTGGGGAGTCCCCTTCCTCCCGCGGGGTGCTGGGGACTGTCCCACCTAACTGTGGCTGACCGCTCGGAGGATCACCCCTTCCGGAGAGAGTGTTCACATCCTGGGGGTCACTGTGACCACACACACCCCTGGGGAGGCGGCCCCCAGGGAGGAGGCTCCCTAAGGGACCGGGTGCTGGTCAGCCTTTGACAGAGCACCGGCACTGGTGCCTGGCATACATTCTCATCGCCCAGCCTTCCTGAAAAAGGGGAAATGGCTCACAAAAGTGAGTGACTTGCCCGAGGTCACACAGGCAGTAAATGGGGGTCTGAATCCACACCCAGGCATGCAAGACTCCCACTGAAGCGCTTTCCCTTTGTGAGACTCAGGCTGGTTCCGGCCAGGCTCCTAAAGGCACCAGGTGGGGACCCCAACAGCTCAGGCTTGAGTCTCAGCCCAGCTTTGTCCTCACTCCGCGTGGCCTTGAGTAGGTTACATTGCTTTCTGGGCCTCAGTTTCCCATCTGAGGCCTATTTATCTGGGTCAGTCAAGGGGCCAGAGGAGAGCTGGGGAAGAGGACCTCTTCCCTGTTTTACATCCTAGAAATCCCTGCCCTCTGAAGAGGACCGCGCAGCTCAGGAATTTCCCGTCTGGGCACTGGCTTCCTTTTTGCTCTTTAACAGAGCTTCTGCTCCTCCCTCCCTTTTGTGTGCCCCCCCGCCCCCCCCGTTCCCTGCTCCCCCTGGAAACTGGGCACAGTCTGGGAGGCACGGCCAAGTGGGCAAGGCAGGGGGGAGATGGGGGTGCCCCTTGGCACTGAGAACTTCCTCTTCCTCCTTGGGAAAGGCGGCCGGGGGCCAGTTTGGGGCTTGGACATTGATCCTGTCTCTGGGCGGGGTAGGAGGGGGGTGGGGCGGTTGTTGTGGGAAGAGGGGGCTTCAGGAGGCTGCAGTAAGACAGACTCCACCCCCTTCTCTCCTCGTGGCCTCAGGGGTGACATTTTTCAGATCTGAACCAACGGTCACAGTGCTCCCTCACTAGGAGGGTCATTCCAGCTACTCCCAGTGCATAGATGGGGAGACTAAAGGACCCCCCCAAGTTTATCCAGCCAGAGAGGATGATGAGGACTTGATCCAAGGCGTCCTGGCCCATTGCCTCCGTGGCTGTCTGCCGTGGTCTCATTGTGCAATCCCCAGTCCTCCCTGCCAGCCTCCTCTTCTAACCCCAGATTGGGAAATCGTTGGAGAATCCGAAGTGCGCTGGGTCATGGAGGAGGGGACAGCGTCAGGCTCACAGACCCACCACCCCCTCAGAGCCCCAGACCCTGATGGGCAGGGGCAGGAAGGACACACCCGGGCAGGCTCGGCACCCCCTTACCCAGCTGCCATGATGCCCTCGCTCCCTCTCTGGGGCCTCACCCGAACTACAGGCTGCAACCGGGGCTTGGGAGAAGCTGCCTCACCCTCCTGTGGCTGCCCCAGTCACTTCCCCTTTCCCTGAGTTCAGGCATGAGGGTCAAGGGTCACATCTGTGAAGCCCCCAGCTCAAGGGCAACCCTCTAACAATAGGGCTGCACGGACAGCCAAGGGGTGTGACTGTCAGTGGGGCTCAGGGGGCAGGAGCTATTCTTACCCCCTCTTGACAGATGAGGAAACAGTCCTCAGGAGACCAGACACTTCCAGAAGGAGCCAAAGGCCAGCCAAGAATTCCACCCTCTGCAGGAAATGAGCATCAGATGCAAGTTGGGAGTGTCCCTGGTCAGCTGCTGTCCCACCACCCACCTCCCTGGGGGGGGGGGTGTGTTGGGTCTCGGGCTGCAGGCCTGTTACACCTGGCAGGAGGGCAGCAGGCAGGGGTGGACTGGCAGCAGACCCCCCAAGTCCAGCCCAGAGGTCAAGTGCCCCCACACCTGGCCCAGAGCTGTGGTCAGCTCCTGGCATGCAACCCAGGACTTGGGAGGCCCCGGGCACATGCCTTCCCTCTGCTTGGAAATGACAGGTGACTTTTTTTTTAGTTGTTGTAAAATTCACGTAACCAAATGCTCCATTTGGACCATTTTAAGTCCACATTGCGGGACACTAAGTTATATGTTGCTATGTAACCATCACCACCATCCATCGCCAGGATTTTTTTCACCTTGCAAAACTGAAACTCCATGCTCATTAAACACGACCTCCCCTTTCTCAGCCTCCCAGCAGCCTGGCATCTGTCATTCTACTTCCCATCTCTATAAACTTGGCCACTCAAAGTAACTCATACAAGTGGAATCGAAGGGACAGTATCTGTCCTTTTGTGACTGGCTTACATAACTTCGCATAATATCCTCAAGGGTCATCCATGTTGCGGCATGTGTCAGGATGTCCTTCCTTTTAACGCTTGAATAGCGTTTCATTGTTTATCTTTTCATCTGCCCGAAGATGCCTGGATTGCTGCCACCTCTTAGCTGTTGTGAATAATGCTGCTGTGAGCCTGGGAACTCAACCAGCCCTCCCAGTCCCTGCTTTCGGTTCTTTTGAGTAGACAGCTGACTTTTGTCGACCTCCACAGGCGTCAGGCTCTCTCCTAAGTGCTTTGCACGCGTTAACTGGTTGCATTAGACAATCTGATGTAATGGGTGCTCCTTAATTATCGCCTTTCCACAGATGAAGAAATCAAGGCACAGATAGGTCCAGTCACATGGCCGTCAGTGGTGGAGCTGGGAGCCCACACTAAGCATATTGTTGTGGTTCAGTCATTCAGTCGTGTCCGACACTTTGTGACCCCACGGACTGCAGTACACCAGGCTTCCCTGTCCTTCACTATCTCCTGGAATTTGCTCCAACTCATGCCCATTGAGTCAATAATGCCATACAACCATCTGATCCTGTCACCCCCTTCTCCTGCCCTCCATCTTTCCCAGCATGTTGATCAGGTCTTCCCAGGTGGCTCAGTGGTAAAGAATGCAGGAGACACAGGAGACATTGGTTCGCTCCCTGAGTCAGGATAATCCTCTGGAGGAGGAAATGACAAGACACTCCAGGATTCTTGCCTGGAGAATCCCATGGACAGAGGAGCCTGGCGGGCTCCAGTCCATTGGGTTGCAAACAGTCAGATAGGACTGAGTATGCAGACACACAATGTGGATCAACTGAAATACAGCTTGATGCGTTTAAGTCAGATGCAAGGAAGGATAGTCTGCAGGGCTAGGAAGCTTAGATGCAGAAATGGAAGGCTTTTTTTTTTTACTGCCCTCTACTGCATTTTCATCTTTGAAAAAAAGAAGTATTTCCCAATCTGCGCAGCCAGCAGGAGGGGCTGACGCGGGCCAGGGAATATAACGCGGGTGGTGTGTGATGAACCGCACTCCCTCGATTCCCCCTCACGGAGCTCCCAGGGCTAGGGGAAGTGGACGGCAGAAGGGGGCGCATCCTGCCACAGGGCTCAGCAGGCGCAAAAAAACCCGGTGCGTGCGGGATGGGACTGGAACACCGGGGCTGTGGGTCGCTGGGTCTGGCCGCCCCCGGAGGACCTGGCGGGAGGGCAGGGCCGGGGGCGGGGCTCCTCCACGGCCCCGCCCACTTCCCTCCGCGCGATGACTTGCACTTCCCACGGCCCAGGCCCCGCTCGCACGCTGCTTCTCCTCTCACTTCGCAGGGTCAGGTGACCTGGGACCCTGGCTGGGGCCTCTAGTTTCTCGGGGATGTCCCGCTCGCTCCCGAAGTGCGCTGGGCAGAGCCATCGGATCCTCTGTTGACAGGTGAGGAAACCAAGCCTTGGAGGAAACAAATCGACGCAAAAAGCTGAGGCCTTGAGGCTGGGATTTCTGCTGCCACCCGGCCTCCCTCAAAGGGGAAGTCACTTGCTCAGGGTCATTGGCAGCTGCACCTGACCTCGACCCGAGTCTCCTGACCACCCCGACGACCACGGGATGGTCAGGTCAGCTGACCAGGAGCCACCCTCCCAGGCCAGCCCCTCCCAGGAGCGCCCCCATCAGGGCAGGTGCACGCCGCCGACAGGCAGTGTCCCCTCAGGCCTCCGCCAAGCTGTCTGCTTGTTAATAGCCCTCCCTTCCTCCGGGGAGGAAGCCAGGGCCCGCGCGCCTTTCTGTGAAAATGAGGCCTGAGGAGAAAGGGCTGGAGGTGCTAGAGGTGGGGCCACACGGGAGAAAGCAGGGCCCGCTGGGCACCACCAATCCCAGTGGCCTGCTAAGGACTGCACGCCTCCAGGGCACCAGGGAATCTCCATGCCAGCCCGTGGCCTGGGCTTGTTCCTAAAACGGCCTGGCTTTCCACAGCAGTTTTTGGCGGTGATGCAAGATGACCTGCTTCAGACCCGGGGCTGCCCCAACCCGGCAACCCAGGCTCTTTTCCTCCACGGCACAGTTTCCGGGAAAACAGCCTTTCTCCACGTAAAGTCCCACCAGGGACAGAGCGGGTCACGTGGCAAGAGTCGTGGCCGGCCAAGGCCGAGGGTGGAGGGAAGCTGCACCAAACCACCCCCAGGCCTTCCCCTTCCTCCAGTCCGGGTGCTGGAACACCTCATCCGGGGAGCTCTGCCCTCTGCACTTTGGAGAAGGAAGGCATGATGGTGGGGCTCAGGCATGGAGACCACTTGGGCCCTGGGGTCCTACCACCTCCATCTGTGGTTTCTGTTTTTGGCTGAACAGAGCAGCTCTTGGGGGCTCAGTTCCCCCGAGGAGGGATGGAACCTGAGCCCTTGGCAGTGAAAGCGCAGAGTCCTAACCACTGGACCGCCGGGAAGTCCCCCATCTGGGGCTTTCGACACATTGTTTCACCCCTTTGGCCTCAGTCCTTTCTGGAAACAGCAGACACTCACTTAGGGAGCTGCCAGAGAGGGCTTCGGGGAGAGGGTGCATATAAATGATTGCCATCCTGAGGGAGTGCAAACAGGCCGGCCAGTCCTCCTCCTGCACATTTGCACTTTGTCCCATAATACTTCCAATGTTACACCAGGAGGTGGGGCCCAGGGAGGTGGAGTAACCTGCCCAACGTCTCACAGCTAGCAATGTGCAGAGCTGGGCTCCCAGCCCGCAGATGTCTGAATCCACAGCCTAATCCTTTTTTTTTTTTTTAATTTAAGTATAGTTGATTTGTAGTTTACAATTGATCTGCAACCAACTAATCTATATTAGTTTTGATCACCCTGCCTGGCACAGGCCGGCCACCCAACACTCCACACTGGGAGACGGCTGGGGAAGCACCATCTAGCCCAGGGCGGCCCAGTCCCAGCTCCTCCCCCCAGGCCAATGGACGGTGGGCAGACATTGACCTTGGTGGGAGGGGGACCCTCTGACCTGCTGGAGGTCCCGAAGGGACTCTGAGGTAGAAAAGGAGGAGGTGGGAGAGGGGGCAGAGAGGGCCCTAGGGACCCTGCAGCCCCCTCTCCCCCGGGGCAGCGATGGGGGCCCTGTGAGGACTGCATCCCAGCCGCCGAGGGGCCCCATGAAGTCCAGGAAGGCAGGGGCTGGGTTCAGCAGACCAGGAAGGAGGCAGGAGAGGCCGCGCGGGCATGGAGGTGGCAGGCGGCTGCCCCTCCCGGCACCCCTGCTGCAGGTCTCTGGCCGATCCCACCTACCCCAAGCTCCACACCTGCCGGGCATGGCCTCCCAGCGTCTCCTGTGTCACAGAGGAGGGGACCCAGCCTCAGAGAGGACTGGGCCGGGTCACCTGCTGCGGGAGACAGCAGGCTGAGACCCAAACACCCTTGAGCGGGGTTGGCCCCAGGCTGGGCGAAGGGCCACAGAGGGAACATGTCCAGGTGGAGCAAGGGGGGACACCCAGGTCCCTCCTGTCGCCTAGGCTGTCTTGGGTCAGCAAGTTGGGTTTCCTGTCCTTGAAACTGAGCATCCTGCCTTGGGCAGGCTGGCCCATGCCCCCTCTCACCCCCAGCCTCATTAAGGAGCCACAGGCTCAGGGCCAGAGATGACCCTCCGTCCACAAAGGAGCCCCAGGAAATGTGGGCAATGGCAAAGCCAAGCTGAGCCCAATGGGGATGAGCAGGGAGCCACACAGGGGGAAGGGGGTGGCCAGGCAGAGGTGGGGCCTGGGACCCGAGCTCTGGGGGCACGCAGGATGTCCTGCTGCACAGGGGAACAGGCACTGGGCGAGCCCCCCAACCCCACCCCTGGGCGCTGACAGGGGCTGGCACATTCCAGGAACACACACACACGTGAACACACACACACACATGCACACAGGCTTCCTTATCAGCCAGACAACCTGGTCCTCAAGTCCGGAAGCAGCTCAGAGAGCCAGCCCTCTCCCCCCACGCTTGGCCCGGACAATAGGATGGCCAGGGAAACACTCTGGCTCTTCGCGAGGCCTCCGGGGACCTGGTGGTGGGCAGGGTCCTGAGCACAGCCCCCCAAGCCCGGGACAAGGATGGCCAATGGCAAGGGCCCTGGAGCCGAGCCAGCCGCGGTGCCCTGGCTTCAGCCCTCCCGGCAGTCCCCGGCCCCTCTGGCTGCACCCTCACAGGAGCTGTGTCTGGCCTCCTAGTCACCCCAACTCGGCCTCGGGAAGCCGACCCCAGCCCCTCATGCTCTGCTGGGCTCACAGGAACACAGCCGGGGCATACAAAGCCGCCGGGGCACGGAGGGTCCTGCTGGGAAAACCCTGCCTTTCTGGCTCTGGGCCTGGCTCTCAGCCTACATCCTTCCCGCTGCCACTCGGAAAGGCTGCTTAGCCCCTGCGCCTCCCCGCCTCCCCGCCTCCCCGCCTCCCCCTGGGGCTGTTCCCCACTCGCAGGCCCCACCCACCTCAGGAGTCACTGACGGAGCCCCCCCCCCCGCCCCCGCACTCAGGGTCTTTTCTGCTTTTTCATGCCAGGCCCATGGGAACAGGGGGTCACGGGGGCCCCAAACCTGGCTTTATGGCAGGCCTTTGCTTCACTCCTCTTGGCCTGGGAGGCACAGACAGCACCCCCATTTCGCAGCTGGAAAAAAACTGAGGTGCAGAGAGGTGAAGAAACTTGCCTACAGTCTCCTGACTGGAAAGCAAGAGGTAGAACAGGACTAGCCTGGCTCAGAAACCCCACCCGGGGCCCTCCGCCTGCAGCCGGGGGCTCAGGCAGGGCCAGGCCCGTCGGCCAGGGCCGGGGCCGGGGCACAGAGGTGTCGGGGGTCGCAGGGGCTCTCTGTGGAGAAGCTGGCCAGGACCAAACCAGGGCCCCTACCCCGACCTCTGCTAGCCACCGGGCTGACTCGTGGGGTCCGGCTGGCCTGTCGGTCCCCTGCCGCTCCCGAGGGAAAGAGGCACCCCTTGGATACCTGCCCGCCCCCACCCCTCCCCGCCGGCTCTAGGACCTCAGGTCACCCATGCTGGGGCCTGGTGTGAAGCAACGCTGACCTGCATCCTGTGCTGGCCTCAGTTTCCCCACTGACACTAGGGCTGCCTGCTAGCGTCAGCACCTACATGCCCTGCCCCCACCCCACCCCTGTTCCCAGGGCCGGGGAACCCCAACCTCTCCTCTTCCTCCTTCCTGCCCCGCCCCTAGCCAGGCTGTGCCTGGCATTGCTCCTGACCCCCCCCAGGATCCCAGCAGGGGGGAGGGTGGGGGGGCACCCAGTGTGGCCACCCTCAGCGCCTCTCTGTCAGTCTCCCATCGCAGCGCTCCACTTTCCTGGCAAGCCCCAGGTTGCCAATGCAAATGGGGTTTCCTAGCAGCCTCGCCTGCAGGCTGGAGCCAAATTTCAGGGCCACATGTTTGTGAGAGAAGGATGAACAGAAAGGTTTGCAGGGGTCACACCGGAGTAAGCTCCTTGCAGGCTCACGTCCAGAGCTGGCACCTGCAGGGTCCACCCCTCCACACACTCACTCCAGGTTGACACTTGCCCTGCGGCAGCACACAGCTTTCACTGCTGGGAAGTCCCTCTCGAGTCTAACCCAAATACCTCAAGCTGTAGAACACGCTTTGGCCTCTCCTTATCTGCCAGGGCGCAGGCTTCGTTAGAACAGGACAGAGCAGTGCCCACCCCTGCGGGGCGAGGCTCACTTGGCACGTGAGGCCAGGGGCCCTGGGGAACCAGGGTCAAAGTTTGTTTTGTTCTGTAACCACAGCGGTGGGCCTTCCCAGTTCAGACCTGCCTCACGCTCCCTGTTGGTACGGTGGGCTGGAAAAGGGAGTCAGCACGGAACTTCTGGTGGGCCCATGGGTGCATGGGGACGCAGACCTTCTGTCTGAAGTCAACTTGGCCCTGCCCCTCCTTAGAGAGATACCGTCTTAATTCATGTTTATTTTAAAAATAAATACCCTGTTCTTCACTTTCATATTGGGGTGGTGTGGGACAGTTAGGCAGGGAGGCCTTCCTGGGTGGGCAGAACCGAAGGGAACTTCTGTACCAAACCCTCCTCCAAATGCCTGGAATGCCTCTCAGGGCTCCTCCTCCTGGCCATCATAAGGAGGAGGATGGACAGGACAGTCCACGACCCGGGGCTTCGGGCCTGGGGGCAGAGCTGAGGCTACCTCCCGGGCCCCCAGCTTGGGGCCCGGTGCCCAGGGGAAGGTGGCCGCCCCTCCATCCACCGGGGTCAGCTCCGTCTCAGGCCGGCAGCACTAGATGCAGGTGATCACCATGCCCACGGAGGTGGACAACTCGATCTCCTCGAAGAGCACGCGGCCCCCTGTGGCCCCGGAGCCGCCGGCCTTGGCTGCAGCCCTCAGCAGGGCCTGTGTGTGGCGCAGGAAGTGCTGGTTCCGACGGTGGCCCAGACGGCGCAGCGCTAGGATGGCCAGCACGTGGTCCCGCCTGCAGAGACATGCGGGCCGCTGCTGCAGACTCAACAGCTCCAGGGACACCCTGCACCCCAGGGCAAGGGGGACCCCGGGGCTCGGACTGGAAGCGTTAGGGCGCCCAGCATTCCTGGGGCGTGCCTGGGTCTTGAAGGGTGCAAAGCCCAGTGGAGACGGGAAGAGGCAAGCCTGATGGGAACGGCCTCTGAGGCCCAGGCAGAGGTTTGGGAAACCTAGTGGACCAAGGGAGGCTGCACGGGGCCGTGATGCCGCAATGCTGGGAGCGGGGACAGGCAGGGGAGTCAAAGCCTCTTCCCCTGAGAACCGTGCTGGGGAGCCCCGGCCCAGCAGCAAGCAGAGAGGCACGTGGGGGTGGGAGGCTTGGCCCAGTGTGCCGCGTCTCCCGTCCCGAGCACCCCAAGGAGCTGGAAGCACTGGCAGCACCTGGAGGGAGGGAGGGCCGGCCTGACTGTGCAGGAAAACCCCAAGGGGCCAAAAGGGGAACCTTCCGCCTTGGCGCAGTTACTCTGAGCCAAAGCCAAACAGACACTGCGGGCAGGGATCAGAGGATTCTCCGGTGGGGCGGGGCCGGGCAGGGGGCCGGGGGCCGGGAAGGGGCTCGGCCTGGGGTTTTCTGTAGCCTCCCCATCCTGGAATCTCCAAGGCCATGGAGAGATTCAGCTGGGATTTCCACGTGTGTGATGACTCAGCAACCCCCAAACACACACCCTAGGATCAAAGCCTTCTTCCTTCTGGCAGGTCTCAGGCTTCCAGAGAGGGCTTGCTCCCGGAGCTGGGGGCCTGTGCCTTCCCCTAGGACTCACTGGAGGAAGGGCTCTGGCTCCCTTCAGACTCCAGGGACCACAAGACTGAATGAGGACGGTGAGAATAGATCACCGGGGAAGGGCATGCAATTCCATCAGGGCCCCCGCAGGTCCAAGCCCCGCCCGGAGGCCCCCTCCCCGTCCCCCATACCCCATCCCCAGAACCAGCTCCCCCCGCCCGTGGGCTGCTCGCTGGCCCACCTGCAGCCACAAGAACTCTTCTGAAGGCACGCAGCCCAGTCCCCGGCCCCAGAACCAGCTCCAGGATACGAACCTGATGTCAGGGTAGCTTCTGATGAGCGTCTCCAGGTGCCGCCTGATGTCGTCCTTGTGAGTCTCGCCCATTATGTCAGCCACGCACAAGATAGCTTGGCCCAGCCACGTGGCTTCGGAGCCCTGCAGAGACGGGGAGACGTGGACGCGGTGGGCCACCCCCGCCCCCAGCCCCCTTCCGGCTCCCGCCTGCAGCCCCTCGGTTAGTGGCCCGATTAGCCCTCCTGCAGCCACTACCTTGGCCCCACCAGGACCGCCTCCCGCCCCGCGGCATGGGAGCGGCCCCGGCTCAGGGTTCCTCTTCCCTCCCCACGACATGGCGCAGGGCAGGCTTTCTGTGTCTGCTCAGGGGGGTGAGCCCAGGCCCCGCGAGGAAGGCCTGCCTGAAACCAGACGGGGAGTCGGGGACCAGCGGCCCAGATGAGGGGTGTCTGTGTGGGGAGGACATGCCTGAGCTCGCACTGCTGGGGGTGCGGTGGAGGAGAGGTCGGACACGGTCCCCGCACATCAGACGGGGCTGTGACCCTCATCTCTCCCCTACACCCTCCACAAAGTGTATGCAAATCAACGCAAATATATGCAACGTGTCCTCCCCACCTGGCCCTGCCCCGGAACGTGGAGAGTGCGGAGAATCGCTCGCCAAAGCCCGCCCACCGGGGGGTATCTTACAGGGGGTGAGCTGAAATCAGAATGAGGGGGGCGCTGTTGGAGGTTCCGCGGGCTGGAGAACCCTCAAGAAGGCCAGCGCCCGGGGGGCAGTCAGGCGATGCTCCTACCAAGCCCTGGAAGGTGTTGGTGATGGCCTGCGCCTCGAGCCTCATCTTCTTGGAGCCACTCAGGCGGTCCTCACCCCGGAACCGCTGGTGGGGTCTCAGCACCTGCGCCAGGTACTCGCGGACAACATAGCGGTGCACCTCTTGCAGAGTCTCCTGGGGGGGGGGGCGGTGGGCCAGGGTCACCAGTAGGAGCCCTAGGCACGCCCCCACCATCGCCCGCCCCGCCCCCCGATACCTGGGCCAGGGGTGGGGCCATGTGCTCAAGGAGGCGGGAGAAGGCCACCACCTTGTCCATGAGGGGCTTCAGCAGGTCCTGGGTCAGCCAGGCCTTGGTGCACAGGACCCTGAAGAGCGGCTGGGGGCAGAGCGGTGGGCAGTTTTCCGAGGGCTGACCCCCAGCACCCATTAGACCCTCCCCTGGGCTCCCAGGGCATAGCTCCTGACAGGGGCGATTCAGGCCAAAGGACGAGCTGGCATCAGGAAGAAAGCCTGGGGAGCTGACCCCCTTCTCTACGGTATCTTGGGGACAGTCCCATCTGACTCTAGACCTTTCCCTGAGACTGCCTCCTCCAGGCTGGGAGGCCCTGTGGGCACGGTTGGAGTTTGAGCCTCTAGCCAGGCCTTGCGTCGGGAGTCCTGGGGGCGCCTTGAGGGGCTGCATGAGGTGCCATCCTCAGAGAGTCTCAGAGTTCGTCTCTGAGATGAGGAGCCTGAAAGCGTTAGTCGCTCAGTCGTGTCTGACTCTTTGTGACCACATGGACTGTACCTTCGTCCATGGGGTTCTCCAGGCAAGTACACTAGAGTGGGTTGCCATTCCCTTCTCCAGGGGATCTTCCTCACCCAGGGGTTGAACCTGGGCGTCCTGCAATTACAGGCGGATTCCTTACCACCTAGCCACCAGAGGAGCCCAGGGAGAATGAAGGAAGAAGGTAATTCTTTCCCAGTTGTTCTTGCTCAGCTGGGAACGTGTCTGGGTCCCCTGCCTGCCCCCCGAAACACCACCCTGACACGCTCCTAGGTAAATGAGTGCCGTGACTTGGGTCCTCAGGCCCCAGGACACAGGGCGCACCTGCTGGGCAAGGAAAGTGGGGAGAGAAGGGCCCACCCCCTCACCTGCACATCGCCCTGCAAGCCCTGGAGGAGCTGCTTCTGAAAGGCGCAGGTGGCAGCCACCAGGGGCTTCTCCAGCTCTCCAAAGCTTTCTGGGAACTTGGCCAGAAGGTGAGTCCTGGGGAGGCGGAGGGGCCAGGGCGGGGCAAAGTGGGCAAGGGGGTCACGGCCTGGCATTCAGCCGTGAAGGCTGGGTGCCACCCCATCTCCGTTCACTCAGACTGTAGTGTGAAGGGCAGCCCCCTGGGGCGGCACAGTGGAGAAGCCCTGGGAGCAGTCACGTGAGGGGGCGGCACTCGGCCCAGGAGCCGAGCACAGAGGGGTGGGCCAGGGGAGGGTTCGTGGTCCTGCCGCATGGCAGAGCGCCCCTGCGGCAGTGCTGAGCCAGACCTCCATCCCTCCTGGTGATGGAACAGCGCAGCACAGACGCTCCTGGCACAGGGACCCTCCTTAGAGGCTCGTGATAGTCGCTCAGTCGTGTCCGACTCTTCGTGACCCCATGGACTGGAGCTCGCCAGGCTCCTCCCTCCGTGGGATTTTCCAGGCAAGAGTACTGGAGTGGGTTGCCATTTCCTTCTCCAGAAAGGCAGGGACACAGAAAGGCAGGCTAAATTTCTACCAGGGGCTTGACCAGAGATGGCCTACCCCAGAGTCCCCTGTGCCCAGGCCCAGCCTGGCACAGCCTAGGGACAAAGGAGTGTTAGAGAGCCAGTGACTCATCACGGTCATGCTTTGGGTTCCCAGAGCCCTGGGTCAAGCCCCAGATCCACCATGTGCGGCCCGTGTGCCCGTGGACCAGTGGCGATGCCTTTCTGAGCCTCCACACTGCATTCCCGTCCCTACGTGGGGGCATCACACCATCAGCAGTTGAGGGACACTATGGCTTGGCTTGGGGCTGAAGGCACTGGCAGCCCACAGGGGAGAGGAACCCGGGCCCCAGCGCCAGCAAGGCCTTGGGGGTGGGGGGGAGGGAGTGTCAGGGAGGGCTTCCAAGAAGAGAGAGGGTCCCTAAAAAGGAAGAAGGCTGAGCGGGAGGAAGGGAGGAGAGAGCGCGGAGCCCTGGGTGGCAGGGATGAGCTGGGCAAGGGTGGTTGGAACCTTGGCCTCTGCTCAGCCCTGAAGCTCCCCGCGTCCCTGCCAGGGCCTCAGCTCTGCCGGGGCCACGGGAGGACCCCACGGCGGGGCGGGGACGAGCACGGAGGGCGGGTCCCCTCCGGGAGGCCTCCGGGGACAGGCGCCTTGGGGCCGCAGGGGCGGTGTCTGCGTCGCGGTTCCCAGGGCTCGCGCGCCCCCTGCCGGTCACGTCGGGCACCGCGGGGCAAACCCACCTGAGCTCCTCGAAGGCATTGATGCTTGCGCACAGATTAGGCTCGCTCACCGCCCCCGACTCCAGAAAAGCCTTTTTGAACCTGGGGGCAGGGTACGCAGGGGCCTTGGAGACCCTCCCTGGCTGCTAAGGCCCCGAGTCCGCCCTCCAGGCTTCTCTCTCCCAGTTGTCCGGAATCTCGGATTCCGAGGAAACGGGATGGGTGGGTCCTCCCCAGGGACGACCAGCGTCCACACTCTGGCCACCCCGCCCACCACATCCCGGCCCAGCATTCATCCGCACCTGGGCAGGAAGAGCCCCAGCGCCCGCGCGCAGATCCCCAACGTGGTGGCCTCCAGCTTCGTGGAGATGGCGCCGGCCGCCTTCGCGTGCTCCGCCACGAGCTGCGAGCGAGCGCGTCTGAGTCCTTGGTCCCGATGCCCCAGCGCCCACCTTGTGGCGCGGGGACGTCTCCACCCTGCCCCGCTCTGCCTCCCAGTCTCGGCTCCGACTTCCAGGAGCCCCGATTTCCTGGGTGGTCAGTCCTCCCAGCTCCGCACACCAAGCCCCCCCCCCACCCCCCGCTAAGCTGGGAGCTGTGGCCTCGCGCTCCCAGCCTGGCCATGAGACCCGAGGACCTCCGACCGCGCCCCACGTGGGGCCTCAGGCTCCCGTCCGACGGGGAGGCGGTTGTGACTGTGTCTTGTAAGTATCTCCGCCGCCAGAGGCCCAAAGACACGTCCTTCCCTCCGGGCGCACCATGCAGACGTCCGAGGACAGCGTCGTGCGGTAGATGCCCTGCAGCACGTCGGGGGCCTCCGCAGCCGCCCAGCGGTCCTGCTCCAGCTGCAGGATCCTACTGAAGCAGCTCGCGATCTCGGTCTGTGCGGGCCAGGGAAGGGGCCGCGGTGAGACCCTCTCAGGAGGGAGACCCCCCCTACCTCCAAGCCCTAGGGCGCGCCCTTGGAGACAAGCGCACCCCTGCCGAGACATAGGAGAGGCTCGGACCCTGGGCACTGCGCCTCCCAACCCCGCGGCATCGACCGCCCTCCACCTGAACCCCGCCCCCTCCGGCCCGGCCCCGCCCTACTCTCACCTCCAGAAGGCTGGTGCAGGCGTCCTCCAGTTGGGCCCAGGCGTCCGGTGCCAGGAGCGGGGGCAGCGGCTCCGAGGGCACAGTCTGGTCCTGGGAGCCCAGGAAATCGGGACTGGAAGGCAGGGCGAGGCCTGGAAGGTCTGGGCGGGACTCTGATGCGGCCGCAGCTGCCCCCACTGCCCTCTGCATAGGCTCAAAGCCTAATGCCATCGCTGAGGCCCGGAATCTGGGCTTCTGTTCACACGCCCAACCCCCCACCCCGCCCTCCAAGATTCCGTGCCAAACGCCTCTCCGCCCGGCTTCCCACCTCAGGATTTCCTGGCTAAGCAGTCGGCGGAGCGTGCCCTGAAAGCATAAAGATGGCAGTCCGGATGGACCTCGACCAGTTTGCTTCGGGAATGACCTCCACCCTCTCGCTCGGGGTTCACCCAAGATTGAGCTCTAAACGCCCCCAGGACCTTGCAGTTCAGGGTCCAGATAGGATCCAGCCCACACCGGGGCGTGTTCCTGTCTGCAGCCACACGGAATATTAAGGAGCCCAGCACGTTGGCGCCCCTTCCAACTGCCCGTCTGCCTCGTGAGGTGGGGAGCGCTCAGGTGGACGGGGGACCCACCCCATCACTTTCTGAAGAGCCCTGAACCGAGGTGTCCATCCAAAGCAAGAGTGGGGGTGAAAGCCAGCCCTCAAGGAGCGCGGTGAGCCCGTGGTTGTGTCCAGCGTGGAGGGGGCGCCCTTGGCCAGTTCACTCAAAGGCCCAGCGTGGACTAGGCGGGACTCACTGGGCTCACCGCCTCGGAAGCAACCCCGCCCGTAGCGCTTTCCAGCTTCGGGACCCGAGTTGGAGAGCACCAGGGTCTGGGATGGGGAGGGGAGAATGTCAGAGGGCTCCCGGATCTCGGATCTTGGGTGCCTAACAGCCAGTACTCTCCCGGGGAGGACAAGGAGGAGAAAGGTGCCTTGTGCCCTTCAGAGCAGGTTCCCGAAGACCTCGCGGGCGGGCAGTGCCAGCCCCTCCTTGCCCTCGCCCCACCCCGCGGCCTCCGGCCTGGGCCTCACCTGCCGTAGACGTTGGTGGCCCAGTCCAGCAGCACGTAGAGCTGCTTATAGCTGCGGGCGACGTGCGTGAGCTCCTGGAAGCGCTGGGCCACCGCGCCGTGGAAGGCACTCAAGTAGGTCTGCCAGGCCTGGAAGCCGGCGGCCGCGTAAGCGGGGTGCACCTCCCGCTGCACCTTCTGCAGGTCGCTGCGAACCAAACCGCTGAGCTCGGCCAGGAGCCGCGCCACGTCGGGGGTAGCGTCGGCCGCCCCCGGGGCCTCCCCCGCGCCCGCCTGCCGCACGCGTTCCTCCGCGCTCCGCCGCACCGCGTTCTCCCAGTGCAGGCGCCAGCCGCGCGGCGTGCGCAGAAAGTCGCCGTCTGCAGGGGGCTCCGGATGGGCCTCCTCTTCCGCAAGCACAACGCGGGCCACCTCCGCGAGCGCGGCAGCGTCCACGCCGTCCGGGCCCAGCGTCTCGCAAACGATGGCGCCGATCTCCGCGGTCAGCCCGTCGTAGTGCAGGCACACGTCCATGGCGCGCCGCGCAAAGTCCGTAGGGTCCTGCTGGAAGGTGCACGAGGCTTTCTCGGCCACTAGCCCCGTCTCCAGGTGCCGCAGGTGCTCGAAGGCGGCCAGGAGTTGCCGCTTGGAGATGAGGTCGGCCACAGATGTGCCTTTTGCAAGATCGGGCGAGAAGAGGGCCAGTGAAGGGGACGCTCCAGGTAGGCCTGTCGGCCTGGACCCTACACACCCCGGGCTGGGCTGCCTGGCCCCAGAGCGCTACGGAAGGCCTGCTCCAGGAGCAAGGGCCCCGACTGCCCTATGTCCTTTGGAATTGCCTTTGAAGAGGCAGATCCCAGGTCCCGAGCCTGGTTCAGATCACGCCTGGGATGGTCCTCCCCTTGCCTTCAGCCCCTACATCGGCCGCTGCTCCCTGCGTGGAGCTGGACCTGGTGGGCTCCAGTGCAGTCCTGACTCAGGTCCGGTGGGGCCAGAGCTCAGGCTGGTCGTGTCCTTGGATGCCCAGGCTCCTGCCCACGGTGTCCAGCTTCAGCATTTCTTGTTCCCAGCTGTTCCCTGCTCTGGACCAGCCTCCACCCCGGGGGAGCCCTCCACCTTCTCCTGCACACCCCTTCAGGGCCCATCTCCTGGGTGGCCCCCTGATCTTGCCTCCAAGAGGTCTTGGCTCCCAGGCACCCTACATGATCATGTGATCTGAGTGGGCCAGTGCCTTGACTACCAGTCTGGTTTGGCCAGGAGCCAGGCTGTGAAAGCCCGTGGAGTTCTGGGGCCCTGCAGATCTGGGTTCAAATCTCATTTTTCCACTTCCCAGCTGTGATACGTGAGGCAAGTCACTTAACCTCTCTGAGCCTCACTTCTCTTGGCTGCCCTTGTTGAAATGCTGGAAGGATTTTACCATGCAGTTGTGCACGGGCAGGGGTTTGGGGTGGCTGGGGAGGGTAACCCATCAGGAAGCCTGGGCCCTGCTGCCCCCTCTCTCTCTGGCCTTGGTTTCCTCCCCTGCTGAGTGTGTGTGTGTGTGGGGGGGGGATGGAGGGAGGGTTCACCTTCGGCTTCCTCGGGCCCCGTCCCCGTGGACGACCGCTGGCCAACACCTTCCTTGGCCTTGGAGGACCCCTTCCTGCCGCAGGCCAGCCCTGGCTCAGAGGTCTGGTCCCCGGCGGGACCGTTGTCTGAAGTGCGTCGCAAAGACCGGAACAGGAAGCGGCCGCTGAGCCTGAGCAGCCCTGTGTCCCCTCGGGGGTCTTGGCCCGAGGCCCGCTGGCTCACCCTCGAGAAGGCCCTCCGCAAAGTGCCCGGGCCAGGCCTGGAGCCCTCCGGCCGGGCGCGGGGTGCGTCCTCGCTGCTCGCCCGCCGGGCTCCCTGGGCTGGGGTGTGCGGCTCCACGGGCTCTTGAGGGCGGTGCGGCTCCGGCCCAGAGGCCTCTGTCTGTGGCAACGGCATCTCGGAGTCAGCGCAGCTGGGGGTGAAAGGGAAGCTCAGGCAGCTGGGGCGGTGGTGGTGGGGGAGTGACCAGTCGTGGGGAGCAGACACCGAAACCCCATGAGATCCCATGGGGCATGTGGGGGCCCAGGTGCTGGTCAGGGAAGCTTCCCCCTCCACCGGAGGTGACCCCAAAACTGGAAAAGGAAAAACTGGAAAAAGAAACGTCAAGAGGAAATGTCAAAACGTCAAGAGGAAATGTCACGAGGCAGCTCCCTTGGCCTGAGCCATCTTTGTGCCAGGATGCAGCTATTTCTGCAGACAACGAACAGCTACTTCTATCAGGAAACATCCCCGACACCATTTTCCATGACAGTCTCCCCTGGGTACCCACGTGCGCTGGGTGTGCCAGGCCAGACCCTCCCACCAGAGCTGGAGAGGAAATGAACATGCAGATTCCTGGGCTCAGCCCAGCCAGCAGCCCACAGTCCCCAGAGTGGGCCTAGAAACCACGTCCAGGGCTTCCTGAACCTCGGGTCCTGAGGCCTAGCGTGTCCACCCCCTCACAGCCCCTTCACTGCCCCCCTTACCCCTCAGCTCACCCCCTTTCAGCCATCAGGCTCATTGCTTCTGCTCAAAGTGGAGCTCAAGGGCCCCCGTGGAGGACATCCACCCCTTTCCCTGGATGTCCCAGCACTGGATGGGGTGAGGTCAGGCTGGAGGGGGCTGGCCCAGGCCACTGGGGGCTTATCGAGGCCTTGCAGCCCGCAGGGTAGGCTGTGGGAGGGGCCTTGGTTCTATATTTAACCAGGGGCTGGAGACTCCCAGCACCCATTCTCACCCATGATCTCCTCCCGGCTGCCCCCTGGAGAGGACGGGGAGGGGGTCTCCAGGGCGTGGGGGCCTGGGCCAGGGCCCTCACCACCCCCAGGCGCCCCCAGGCTCCACTCACTCCCCACCCCCTTTCAGCCCAGCCTGGCTGTTGGAGAAAAGAAGAGAAACTTCTTGGCCTTCTGGGACCTCCCACCCACCCCACTGTGTAAAGAGGAGTTGAAAGTGGTGGGGGGCTAGCAAGTTCTCACTTCAGCCCGAGGAGCTAGGGCCCAAAGGAGGGCAGGACCTGCTGAAGTCACTGACCAACCAGAGGCTGAGCCACCCCCCATCCCCAGGTCACCCCTCACCACGGGGACAAAGGCCAGGCTGGAGCCAGCACCCAACCCTTGGGTGGTATTGGGCCGGAGTGGCCTCTCCCCAGGCCTCCGTGTGCCTGGGATGATTGACACCAGGACAGGCAGGGCCCAGACCCTTACCCACCCCCGCTCCACCTGCCAGCGAGATGTCTGTCCAGGGGACAGACATGCAGGGGTTCGCCGAGGCCTACCTTCCTCTCCCAGAGGCAGCTGAGCAGCTGGAAGGAGGCTGCCCCAAGGGAGGGGCTGGCCCAGGTGCTCGATGTAGGCCTTATCAGCCCCGCCCTAGCCACAGGTCGTGGTTCTCCCGGATGCCAGGACTCGGGGACCATGCCCTCAGATCAGGCCCGACACAGCAGGGAGCATCGTGCCAGCGGTCGTCTGTGCCCCCCACCCCCACCCCCCGCAGTGCCCCCAGCACCCAGCAGGGGCAGGAGTGGTGATGAAGAGAGCCATTCCAGGGGGTCCAGCCTGCTACGCTCTGGGCTCTGTCTCCAGGGAGTGTGGGGGCAGGACAAGCCAGCCTACCTTGGTTGGCAAGCGCTCACACTTAGTAAGCACCTACTGTATGCTCGGTCCAATGCCTGGCACGTGTCAGATCCCCATGACAGCAAAGCGACAGGGTGTCATTCACCCCACTTCATAGATAAGGAAACAGGCTCAGAGAGGGGCAGGGTCTTGCCTTAAGCCACACAGCTCAGGGGCGGGGAGTCAGTTCCAGCCCGGGTCTGGCTAGGAACCTGGGAGCAGAGGCTGAACCCTGTCTCCCAGTACCAGCTGCCCAGCGTTGCTGCCCAGGGAACCCTTCTCCTGGCAGAGGGTCTGAAGGTAGGCAGGCTGCCAGATGCCAGGCGTGGGATCAGAGTTGAAGTTCTCCCAGGAAGCCTAGGGGAACATTCTGGGGGAAGAGGGGCAGCTGGCAGCTGGGTCTCACGGGAGGTAACAGAGGCAGAGACTTGAAACGCAGCCACCCTGCCTGACCACCTCGTCCCAAAGCCCATCGAGGCCCCCCTGGTGGTCCCCCTGCTCCCTGAATCTTGCTTCTGCAGCTTCCCGAGACATTCTTGACCTTCATGAGGCACAGGTCAATCAGGTCACTCTCCTGCTTTAAACGCTTCCATGGCTCCCCACAGCCTGGCATTTGAAGCCCCTCTTGCCTCCATCACGGTCTGAACTTCCTCCAGCCTCACTTCCGGGCCTCCTGGGCCTGCACCCAGCCAGCCTCCCAGCTTCTGCTCAGGCAGCTCCTTCTCCCAGCCCCTCCCTCTGCTCCCCAAAGCTGACCTGGATTTCAGAAGCTGGGGCGCAGTTGCCTCCGCCTCCGAGCAGTCCTTGGGCTGTACCACCTGCCTGCTCATCAAGCCCCCGGACTGGCCCCCTGTGGCGATGGGGTCTCCTCACTGGCCTGGGAACCTCTGTCCATCCACCCCTCCCTGTCTCCCCGGAGCCAGCCTGCGGGGGTGTCAGGGAATGTTTAACAGTAGGATTCCTGTGTGCTGTTTCCTATCTCTCTTGAGCCCTCTGTTCCTTACCAGTCCCTATCAGGGGCCAGAGGAGCTGGCAAGCTGCTCCCAGAACTGAGATCATAGAGATGGGATGCTTGCATTAGCTTTTCCATTTGGTGAAAGGGATTACTTATCAATCCTCTTGATACGGATTGCTTTTGGCCTTATAGCCTCTGTTGCTCCTTGTTTCCTTGGTAACTTGTAAAGTCAGGTCTTTTTTGATCTTTATCTGAAGAAGCTACCTTGTAATACGGTATATATACTCTTACAGAATCCAATAAGCATCCTTGCTCCACCAGAGACTTGGGTCCCCGTGTCCTTCTTTCTCTCTCTCTCTCTATTTCTGGATGATTCCCTGGAGCATGAAGGCCGGCTGCATAACCCAGGGCATATTAGCCTCTTTCCTACTTTCACTTTCATATCGTCGACTCCAGACCACCAGGTTCTGGTCCATTAAAGGACCTCAACAAGTGGCGCCCAGAACAGGGGCCTGGTATTCACAGTACTTCGGACGGAGTGACTCAGAGCCTATTGAAGCCGGTAAGTACAAGGACATAGGTCAAATGACTGGAAAGGCCCCTCACTTTTCTACTTTACTTCATCATTTATTTAAAGTTCAGGGACTTTAGGTTTCACACCAACGAGTAGAGGCTTGCCTTCAAACAATAGTTGAACATAATCCCTGGTTCCCTGATGAAGGCAGTTTTGATTTAGAAATTTGGTATCCGGTCAAAGAGAATGTTGAACAAGCCGCCAGATGGGGAAAATATATTCCAGTTGATTTCTGGACCCTGTGGGCTCTCATTAAAGCTGTAATTCTGCCATTTCAAGGCAATTCTAGCCCTCCTGATATTCGACAACAAACAATGCTTATTACATGAATATGAATTAGATGATGAAACTTTATAAAAGGCCCAATTAGAACAACACAAAATATTTCAGAATTTTCCTACAAGCCCTGCCCTGCTGCTCCAAATGCTCCTCCTCTGCCAACAGGCGTGAATCCAAAAGTCTCTCTTTTTCTAGAACCTAATGATTCTGACGACTCTCCTGAGATACTTTGTGACACCAAAGCTGGCAAAACTTTTCTGGATAGTAATGATAAGTCCTTAGCACAAACTCATATTTGCAAAAAATTGCTACCTACTCACTCTCCTTCGAGACAGAGGTTCTCTCTGAATTGCTGGCTTTGCAATCACAAGTCTCTGAAGCCGGTGGTTTTCCCGCCTTCCCAGTTTTTAGAAATACTAATGCTCAAGGGCAAATAATACCTCAATATGAAGGTATTAACCTTTTTCACATGCAACAAATGAAAAAGGCTGTAACTATGTATGGCCCACATTCGCCTTTTACTAGAGAGATTCTAAATGCTATGGCATCTTCTATTGGAACCTTTATTCCCTATGATTGGTGAATTTTAACAAAAGCTCTCCTTAAACCAGGAAAATATCTTCAATAGACAATGTGGTTTCAAGATATAGCCAGAGATCATGCTAACAAGAACACTCGAGCTGGCGCTCCCCAAAACCAAACTACTTTTGAAAAGTTAATGGGCACCAGACAATTTGATGCTATAGAAGCTCAAATACAATGCCCTCTTTGTTGCATAAACAATTAAAAACAGTGGTCCTTGAAGCCTGGGATTGATTACTCCTCAAGGGGAACCTACAGGCAGCTACACTAAAATATTACAAGGCCCTAATGAAGCTTATGCTGATTGTTAAGCTAGATTAGAAACTATTTCCTGTACTGTAATCTGAGAAGAAGCTAAAAGGCAACTAGAGAAATTATTTGCTTATGAAAATGCAAATCAGGAATGTCAAAAGGCTATAGCCCCAATTCGTGAGACAGGGACTATTATTGATTATTTGAAGGCTTGTCGAAATCTGGGATTAGAAACTCAAAAAATGCAAATACTAGCTGAAACAACAGCTGCTTGTTTTAAAAAGGGAAATGAGTGATGTTTTATATGTGGGGATAAGAACCATTTAAAAAGGGATTGCCCTAAGAAAGCTAATCAAAAAACCTCCAAAAGTGTGCCCCCGCTGCCATAGGGGAATGCATTGGGCCAAAGAGTGTAAATCTAAATTTGATATTGAAGGAAAACCTATTTTGGGAAACTCCAAGCAAGGGACCCCCCCAGGACCCCTTCATCAAAAACCAGGGGCAAAATCCATCTTTTCCCTCAAACCCTCTACCTCCAGCAATGCTGCCGTCTATATACCAGCCCTAAATGATTTTCTCCTTTACCCTCAAGCAGTCCCTTCTAGAATACCTACCTGACTTTTTGGGCCCCTGCCCCCACAAACCTTTGGTCTTTTACTTGACTGATCTAGTTTAACTTCTAAAGGGATTACTGTTCACCCTGGAGTAATTGATTCAGATTATAAAGGAGAAATTCAAATTATGATGTCATCTCAGATTTTATGGCAATTCAAAAAGGGGGACAAAATTGCTCAATTACTCCTTTTACCTTACATTTTTATTAACTCCTCTAATGATGTACGGACATGTGGATTCGGCAGTACAGATCAAAAACAGTCCTTATGGATATCATTGCTATCTGAATTTGCCTGACTGAATATAAATATCAAAATTAATGGTAAAAGATTTTCTGATCTCCTCGATACTGGATCTGATATTACTATTATATCCAAACATTTATGGCCCAAATCCTGGCCTATACAAAAAATATCTTGCGAAATTGCAGGAATTTCTCAAACCAAATTACAAGAAGTTTATCAAAGTGTTCAAATCTACCTATGTGATGGACCAAAAGGCCAACCCGCAACATTAAAACCTTATGTGATAGATGCACCCCGTTAATTTAATAGGAAGGGATTTACTTATGCAATGGCAAACTCAGATTTACATTCCACATTTTTCCTAGGGGCCACTGCTCACTTAACAAATAATACAATTATTAAAATAACTTGGAAGTATGACAAGCTCATTTGGACGGAGCAGTGGCCCCTTACGAAAGAGAAACTACAGGCTGCTGAAGAACTTATAGATGCACAATTAGAATTGAAACATATGGAGGAATCTTGCTCTCCATGGAACTCTCCTATTTTTGTTATAAAAAAGAAATCTAACAAATGGCATCCCTTAACAGACTTTAGAAAAGTTAATGCATCTATGAGACCTATGGGTGCATTACAACCAGGAACCCCATCGCCTACCACTATTCCTCAAAATTGGCACATTATTATTATTGATTTGCAAGATTGCTTTTTTAATATACCTTCACACCCTTTAGATCAAGAGGGATTCCGCTTTCTCTCTCCCTTATCCGAATCATATCGGGCCTCATAAACGACACCGATGGACTATGCTGCCTCAAGGAATGATGAATTCTCCCACCATGTGTCAGTACTATATAGCTAAAAGCCCTTGAGCCTGTGAGAAAACAATTTCCTGACTCTCTTGTTATCCATTATATGGATGATATATTGCTTTCGGATCTGTTTTAGAAACTCAACACATGTTTGATTTAGCTCAACAATGCTTATAAAACTCTGGACTATTGCCCCTGAAAAAATTCAAACCTCTACACCTTATCATTACTTAGGATTTGTTGTTAACAGACAATGTATTACTCCCCAACTAACTCAGATTCATACTGATAAATTATCAACCTCAAATGATTTTCAGAAACTCTTAGGTTATATAAATTGGATTAGACTCTCTTTAGGCATTGCTGATTTTCAACTGCCATTCCCTTCTCCAGTGGACCACATTCTGTCAGACCTCTCCACCATGACCCGACCGTCTTGGGTGGCCCCACACAGCATGGCTTAGTTTCATTGAGCAGAAGATATTAAGAAGAGGTGGCAAGAATGCACAGAAGAACTGTGCAAAAAAGATCTTCACGACCCAGATAATCACAATGGTGTGATCACTCACCTAGAGCCAGACATCCTGGAATGTGAAGTCAAGTGGGCCTTAGAAAGCATCACTATGAACAAAGCTAGTGGA